ATTTTTAAAGTTGATAGTTTGTCAGGGTCAAAGCTCGTGTCTTCTTTATTGCAATTAATATTTAATTTACCGGGTTGTGCAGTGTCAATCGATGGATGGATGAGGGGCGTCACTCTCACACCACAACTGTAGCCATGCGTGTTGGTATAGCTAGTGATGGTAACGTAACGCTACGTTGTTACTCCACTATACCTGTCACATAAAATCCCCGTTTTCATTCTCCATTCATCACTATCCTATTCTTCATTTTCTTCTTCCCTACGTCTCCAAAATTCAGCCATCTCTCTGGAAAGCTTCATGTGAACTGAGTGTGGAAATGGACAGGTAATATTAACGGTGTTGACATAAAAACAGAGGAATAGCACATTGCCCTCACTCTAATAACGATCTCATATCAACGACCACCTCCCTCCTGCCAGACACCCTTGACTGCTACACTGAACACTATACTTGTTATCTTCTCTTACGTGTTCGTCTAGCTGGGTTATGTCACTATTTTCTTCCCTCGTTTTTCTTCCCCGTGTTTTTTCTTCACTTTATTCTCCCTTACTATCATCTCCACACTCCTGTAACCTTATGAGAGCTATATGGACACTCCTATAACTTGTAATGGCTGATGGAATATACTCTTCTTCGTGGTCATATATCCAGAGTGTGTTTACGGATACTCCTACAACATCTAATGAGTCACATTTGAAGGTCAACTTGTTTACTTATTAATAATACTACAAATATTACGACTGAACAAAAAATCATTATTTCGGGGAACATGACTCTGATATAGTAGTCGTGTGAGCATTACAAATGAAGAGTAAAGTGACTTCGTCTTTGGTTCACAGAAAGTGTTTGAAATGGTCGCCTCCTCCAGCTTGATCTTTCGAGGAATATGAAACCTGGTGCACTTAGGTCGTGTGGACGTTACAAAGGAAATGTTGTGTGATATTAGCTTGAAATGGCGAAAGCAGTAACATTATCAACAAAAGAGTAGCGGGAGAAATAGTAATAGTAGTAGTGGTAGCAATCTCTCTTTTTTTTTCCCAGACAGGATCATCGTAAGTATTAAGTAGTTGCAATTATGTTACCTCAAGTCTAGGGCGCCACCTGTATCGTACTGTCAACACCTGGGTATTATGTCCACACTCAACACAATCTTCTCCGACACCTTGGCACGATGGATGTGAGAATGAACATAATGGAGCTTGTCACCTAGGTATGGTTTCAGATTCTTCGTTCATTTTTTTTTCAGATTGCATCGTGCTTGTAGCGTTGGAGGAGTTTTTGGTGAGAATGTACAGTACCTGGAAATAGGTCCTAAAAGCATGACGGCCAGCTTATGACAATGAGGATATCGTACACTACATAATGAGCCTTCAACACACAAGGAGGCAGCATAGCCGGTACTACACTCAATCACCTTCACTTCCTAAACTATAAAATCTGTTATCCATTTACAGCCAACCGGAGTGGGAGTGAGGATCGAACCAATCACCGTTAAGGCAGGCGGCGAGCTATGTTACCACTTGGCTACCACACTCAGCACACATCCTGTAATTCACACTAAAATATGTCCTTGTTATTCTGATTTAATTCCTGTTCTAATTTATTATGACTGATTCAGGTAATTCGAGTCGTGGGGTGCTGCAGACATGGCCATACAGGCAGATAGGGCCATACAGGTAGATAGGGCCATACAGGTAGATAGGGCCATACAGGTAGATAGGGCCATACAGGTAGATAGGGCCATACAGGTAGATAGGGCCATACAGGCAGATAGGGCCATACAGGCAGATAGGACCATACAGGTAGATAGGGCTATACAGGTAGATAGGGCTATACAGGTAGATAGGGCTATACAGGTAGATAGGGCCATACAGGTAGATAGGGCCATACAGGCAGATAGGATACCATACAGGTAGATAGGGCCATACCATACAGGTAGATAGGGCCATACAGGTACAGGTAGATAGGCAGCTACAGGTAGATAGGGCTATACAGGTAGATAGGGCTATACAGGTAGATAGGGCTATACAGGTAGATAGGGCCATACAGGTAGATAGGGCCATACAGGCAGATAGGACCATACAGGTAGATAGGACCTAGTCCCAGATTGCTGATCTGACTTTCTGCCTCATTTACACACAATTGCAGGGTTTAAATTGTTTCTCTTACTTTGACAAAACAACATACGAGTACATACTGTATATCATTTCGCACTCTTTATTTCGTTTTTGTATATATTTATGGTTATTAATTTTTTATCTTTTGTTATTATTTTTATTTGTTTATTAATTATTATTAGTATTAGTATTATTATTATTAATTATTATTATTATTATTATATTTTCGCCCCCCAGGCCCTGATGTTGGTCAGTGATCTGTGCTCAGGTGGGCTAATCCCCGTAAAAAAAAAAAAGCAGATAGGTCCATACAGGCAAAAACGGCCTTATATACACAGGTTATATCATTATACGCTCCGGTGAGGTTAAAAAAAAATCAGACAAATTACCATGATTTACATATTCACGATTTAGCGACGAGAATTATAATGTTAACCACAGTACCAGAAATAGTAGTAAAAATAGTAATATGACCAGAAGTAGTAGGTGTAGGAGTACAAGTAATAGTAGAAGCATCAATAGAAATAGTAGTAGTAGTAGTAGTGGTGGGGACATGAGTAGTGTTGGGATTAGCAGGAATAGTAGTAATATGAACAAGAGTAGTAGTAGTAGTAGTAGTAGTAGTAAAGTAAGTAGTTGTAGTAATATGGTAGTAGTAGTAATAATAGTTTTAATGGTAATAGTAGTAAGAGTGGAAAAATATAATAATATCATAGTATTAGTAGTAGTAGTAAGTTGTAATATTAATAACAATAGGTGTGGAAAGACTTTTAATGGTGGTGGTAGTAGTGGTAGTGGCGGTAGTGAATATAGATGCAGTGGTAGTAATAGTTGTAATGGTGGTAGTGGTATTAGCAATAGAGGCATTAGCAGAATAACAACAACAGCATTAGCTCCATTAGCATTAACAGCATTTTCAGCATACATTAACAGCAGCAACAGTAGCATTATCAGCATTAGGAACAGCTTAGCGTGTACCCCAGAGGTCAGTAATGTACCCGAAGTGGGGTACATTACTCGAACTAGGGTACATGCTAATCCAACAATCTTTAGACCTCTTGGATCCATTAGGAACAGCATCATCATCAATAGCATTAGTAGTAGTAGTAGTAATGGTACGAGTAGTAATGGTAGTAGTATCAACATTAGGTTTAACAGCAGTAGCAGCAGTATAATCGAGAGTATTGTCATGACTCGTAATGAAACAGCTTATCTCATATTCACACAGGTGTTGCATTAGTTGCACCTCTGTGTATATCCTCTACACCTGCTCGCACACCTGTGACCATCAAGACTTAAGTCACCACAAACTAATTAATACGCGACAGGTATTTCTGCACCACCAACACTGGCTGGACCGAAGGGCTTTGTGTTATAAACTATTGTTCTGCTTGGGATATTGTGTACAACATTGATATCGATCCTAAATTCCAGAGAGAGAGAGAGAGAGAGAGAGAGAGAGAGAGAGATGGCTTGGTATGATGAAAGCTGGCCATTGTCCCTAACACATACACGCGCGTGTGTGTGTGTGTGTGTTAATGAATAAATATATTTTTGTTTCAGCATGAGTAAGAACCATACTTAAAAGTTTATATTCCTTTTAATCAACATACCCGAACCTGTTTGTGTATGTGTGAGCGCATATGTGTTTATGTAACTAATAAAATTATTTAATACCACATAAAACATAACACTGACCTACCATTGTTGAGGAAGATTAACAGACAGGCGAGAGCACTGTACATTATGACTGTCCTCGAAATACACGGGTCTCGTCCTTCTGTGTTCCTTCTTCCCCCACAGTGGTACTTTAGTGCTGTATATGGCAGAGTATCTCAAAGTCAATAAAGCCTGGATATAAACGGCATATCACCGTGGTGCAACACCCAGCCATAATTGGACAAACATGAATAATACACACAGTGATGCTAAAAATATAGGCTATCACCAGTCCTGGAACGCAGGTGGACGAAACATTTGTTACAATAAAGATATCTAAACCCGTAATAAACACGCGAGGCAGTGTCCAGAGGCGAGGCAGGTGAGAGGCAGCGTGGAGCAAGAGCAGAGCGAGGTAGGTATAGCTACGATCGATGCCGCTACACAGTACGCTCAGGCATTCAAACCGCGACAATAAAATTTCAGTATTCTTTTCTTTCATTTTTTTTTCGTTTTCTTCGGCTTGTCAGCGTGCAGGTGGACACTCTCCGTCTGAATGGCTATTTAGAGAAGCGCGTCTCCCTCATTGTTGTGGAACTCTCTCCACGCTTGCCACTTTGTTTTTCACTTATGTTAATACTACTGCTTTTGCTCGGTCTACAACTATTATTATTATTATTATTATTATTATTATTATTATTATTATTATTATTATTATTATTATTATTACATACGCTGTTAATATTAAGGATACTACACACACACACTACAAATATTTGGATAACTGAGGACGAAGTATGTAAACATTCAAGCAAGGGGGAAGCTGTTACAGGTCTCTCTCTCTCACTAGTATCTCCCGTCCCCCTCTCTCAACACCCCCTCTCCCTCCCTCTACACCCTCCTCCCTCTCCCTCTACACCCTCCTCCCTCTCTCTCTACACCCTCTCCCCCCCACAGGAGCAGTAAGGCTTAGTGCTGCCCTCTGTGGTACATATGATGAAACAACTACTTCACACTTAACTTTATTTAAACACAAAAACTTTCAATCAATATCTCATTTAGTATTTTATAGCAACATTATTTACATGTGTTAACGTTTATGTGTTGGAACATTACCTACAATGTGTAACCAAACAGTAATGTCACTTTAGTTGTTTGTGAAAGTTTATGTACATGAAGAAAATATATACAGTATTTTCTTGACAGATATCTTTATCATTACAGACGGGTCGGCGTCATCGGTGGAAGAAGAGGCAAGTGAATAGACAGTTCATGGACAGGAAGGACAGTACGTAACGTAGACAGGAAGGACTCAGGGGTGACAGTGTGAAGAACAAGTGTTATTATCTGGAGAAAACGACCACAATAACTCTTTAAAACTATTTAATTGATGGTGAATAATTGAAGTGTTCTAAAATTATAACGTAGAAGTATAAACATATGATAGAACTAGTGGATGAAGCCCAGAATGAGGTGAAAAATAATGAAACAATGTACAATTCTGTGTTAAGTCTCCAGATGACATAATAATGAACCGTAATAACACTCTTAAAGAATTATAAACTACATGAATCCTTTAACAGATGTTCTAACTGACTGGATGGTGAGCCTTCAGAAAACACCAAGAATTAATTAATCTTAAAGCTTGATAAGTCACCTGATGCAGAAAACACGACAACAAGTATAATATTAAACACTAGAATGTAAACAAAACAGCGTCAGGTCAAATGATGATGATGATGATGATGATGATGATGATGATGATGATGATGATCGCTTTAAAAGAACCTTACTGAATACAACTACAGTGACTTATTGCCCGAGTAATCTTATCCTCGTCCTAGATAAGAATGATATTTGTTTACTCTGTCTGTACTCTGTGTGATTGAACATTGTTTGTTTTACTGAACATTTGGGAGCCTCAAATACTCGGTATGAATTTTGTAGAATGAAAACCTCACATACTATTTCTTCCCCTGTGACTACTAATGTATTTTGAATCGTATTTAACTGGAAGTCTTTTCTCTAATGTATATAAACCAGTGGCTTATGCTTTTACTTGAATAACATTACATGGAAGTAAAGACAAAAACTATACCTATCTCACGCAGAAAAAAATATCCAGACAATATATAAAAATGACAAACTTAGCAAACTACCTATCAGACAGTCAGTTGTGTTACCATCAGACAGTCAGTTGTGTTACCATGCTCGTGTGATCCCTCAATGACGGTCACCTCCAACCCAAGAACCTTAGGGGATATTTCTGTCACACAAGTAACCAGCTCAACATCATACGACCTGGCTCTATCACAGACTGGCTTCAGAGTCAACATGAAGCTTTACCTCCTGCTCGGGCTGGCTTCAGTGGTCACGGGTGAGTACAACTCTTTTATAATTTAATTCTTTAATAGAAGATCAATGTTGACATTAACGAGCAGGGAAATATTTTACACTAGTTAATAATCCACATAAATACTGTGGTAATATCTTAAGGTAAAAGGTCATAGTATTCCGCCGTGTAATTTGCAGACATTAGCACGATCCTTCTCTCCAATTCACCTCTTATCACACGATAACCGTTTACAGAAACAAATAAACAAAACCTTTTTAACTCTCTGGTCACGAACGTTGCAGTGCATACAACAAATTTATGAACAATAATGTAAGTAATTTCTGGCGCTGTGTTGTGAAAGCAGTTCTGTTAAAAATATATTTTACTTTTATTTCACATAATGGTCATTGCAGACCAATATTGTTTTCTTTGCTTTTGGAGTTTCACTTAAACTGATTACTTGCATGTATAACTTGTACATGAAAATATGCATATACTGCACACGCGAGTATATGTGTACATAAAGAGCCAACCCACACACACACACACACACACACACAAACGTACTGGAACTCTAAACACTGCTAACCTTCCTTGATAACAAACACCACCTGACCGCTCGTAACCCAACCTGCAGGGTGCAAGGCCTCGCGTCCCGGTAAAGTAGGTCAGTGCTCCAAGCACCTCCACCAAAATAAAGTTTATTTACCACGCAAAAGTAAATATTTAGATTTTCATTTTTTTATCATCTCTTTGACGAGAGCTTTATGCAAATATCTCATGAAGGCGGAACAAGTTTGCCAATGAACAAAACAGTTACATCAAGATGCTACTTCAAGCATTTACTGTTCAGACCCAGGAAATGGAAGCTGTAATAACCTAAAGAATTTAAGCAAATTTCTCAGTAATATTTAATGTATCCCCATTACTAATGATTGTAAATGAGATGGAACAAGAAATATAGATTCCTCTACTAAGGGAGTGTGTGGTATGAGAGACTAACCGAAGAAAAGTGTAGAAAGTGACACAACAATAACTGAAACAGCAACTAGACTCACCACTACGTCTTTATCACAAGTAAAATCAATGACTAAACAAAGAAAGTCCAGCATCTAATGATACACACAGTCGTGCAGTAGATTATCTCAATGGTTAAGGCACAATACAACATTCAGAATTAGTTACACTTTGTCTACTTTATAACGTGAAAAAAATTCGCTCTCGTTTATACAAATACGCACATGGCATAAGACTAAGTAGCTACATGTTGCGACGTCAGATATATATAACCCAATCAATCAATCATGGAAGCATTACCTTAATCCTGATTCAACATGAGTGTCACTTACAGGCCAAGTACTAAGACCTAGTACTGTAAACAACCCATTTAGCCTGGAGAAGGTCACTTAACTTTGGTGGGTTTTAGCCTGAATGATTTACCACCGACACGTTTATTAGTAGGTGTCCTGTAGTTTACTCTGATTGATAAGAACAAATTACAGCTTCTTTCACATACTACTTTGAACTTTTTTATAGTATTCAGACTATTTTCTTCTCATAGTAGTAAAAGCTTTTGTTCCTTTTATAGTTTCACCTATTTTGATTTTTTTTAAAGGTCTGTATTAGGTAAGTTTAGATACAAGTGTAGTTTAATGTCAGGTCGAATTTGTGGTCATATCACATTAGGTTTTCCTCCTATAATAGCCCACGGATCATGTGAAGGTTAGCCCTAGCTTATTTAAACTTAATCACTCTAAAGCTAACCTAACCTAACCTAGCTCTCCAGAAGGGTATCGTTAGGGTATTAAATCCTCAAATGTAATAAGCTGGGGTTAATCTTTTCGTGATCTAAGTCTACAATATCCAGCAGGTAAACAAACACAAAGCGCTAACGACAGGTGACCCCAGCGCTCTCAGGTACGGTCTAGGTGTACACAGGTCTTGGGTGGTGGCGATAGTGTTTGCTGGTGGCTACATGGCACGTTCCATAACCAAACACTGCATTATTCACGAAGCATACCGCCACTCACAGGCTGCCTTGTGTGTGTGTGTGTGTGTGTGTGTGTGTGTGTGTGTGTGTGTGTGTGTGTGTGTGTGTTTCTCAGTTCACAAGCTTAGATGACTTCTCAGTGAATTAATATTTATATGTGGCTGTCCATCACCCCCACACATCCACGAAATCAAACCCGATTTTTTATAAACAAAACAAAAACTAAACAAAGATATCCATATACACGTCAACACTAACCCATAGAAGTAAGATCAAAACAAATCGTGACTAATTTCCTCCTGATTCTTAAATTCATCTGTAAAGGAAAATCTTGAAAGACTTCTTCTCCCCCAAAAATGTCCTAAACGAAGACACACGGAAATCGAAACTGCATCAAAAGTTATAAATCTGTCCAAGAAAGTTAGTCCAGAAAGCCAATGGAATACCTGAAAAAAAACACGACCCAACCTGTCAAATGACCCGGTGTGTGTGTGTGTGTATGTGTGTGGAACAGAATCATTGTAAATAAAAATCAAAGGCGAATCCTTACTGACGGAATATATAAGTAACTATTGATTTTACACACACACACACACACACACACACACACACACACACTGAGCCTCTGTACAAATACCCCGACTCAAACCACGACCATGTATTTTCACACCAATAGCAATAATGCCAATGGTTTCTCCCCTCCCTCCCTCCCCCCTACCATCCCTCTTGTACACGCACTGATGTTTGAAATCCCTGTACTGACATTGCCATACATCATCCTGCACGGTGGTAGAAGCCGCTATTACTGTACATACCATACACGTATTTGCACTTCACTCAGAACATACGACAGGGACTAATGCACAACTTCAAGTCTCTAAAAAGAACCCGATCGCGACAACCCGACACGCACACAAAAGAAAATTGATCTCCTATACTCAGTGGAATACTAACAAAGGAAAATTTATCATGGAAGTCAAAAAAGAAATATTCGGGAGAAACGTGAAGGATGTATATACAGTAATGGTGATATTGTCCCGAGGTGCAGTGTATCTCAAGGGGAACGCGTGTACTTGGTCCAGGGTTTCACGAGGAATTGTAACAAACTGGAAAAAAATAACAGCATTCACTCGCATCATCACAATTTTTAATCGATATTTTCATTTCAGGTGCGGATGAATTGGTAGCAAATGAAAGAATATATCTGAGTTAGTCTATTTTGGCGTCTAAAACGAAATCTTAATAATAATAATAATAATAATAATAATAATAATAATAATAATAATAATAATAATAATAATAATAATAAAATAGCAACTGTTACTAGTGCTATCATTACTTATGCATCCAGATATGTAGTGCAGCGTGACACCTTCCTGCAACAAACATGTGAATATATTCATTCACCTTCCTGGTAGGTTTTACACAGATCGAAGGCCACTGATAAAGAAAACTCTAAAAGCTTTATGTTCACTGCTAAAGTTCATCGAAATATTTACAACAAAAAAAACCTCTGAATAAATTTAGATTCTTCCAAACAACTGATTACCATAAGTTATAGCGAAATATTTCAGATTCGTTTCAGTTTACAATATATGTTCTCATTTACATACAGGTAGCATGAAAAAGAAAATGAAATTAGAAATGTTAGACGAGCTTAAGGCGAAAGTAACTGGTTTCTGAGAATTCTGGGAGGATTTAGATAACTCAACACTGGACTAGTTTGTTTGTATCAGTATGAAACAAGTATTCTGAGATATTATTTTTACAGTGCTGGACAAAGGAAAGGATACATATGCACGTGTGACTAAAGCAATAAAGTTAACTATATATTCAAGCTATAGACAGACGATCATATACTGTGAATATCAGTAATAAGGAACAATATCACTAACAAGGAAACAGGAACAAGAAGAAAACTATGATAAATAACTCGCAAGACGAAGACAACAGATTAAAAGCAAAGACAATAAGCAAGAAGAAAAAGAAAGGAACGATAAACAGAATCAAGAAGAAAACAGAATAAAAGACAAGGAACAGAAGAAGAAAGAAAATAACAATAAATACCACCAAGAAGAACACGATAACAACAACAACAACAACAGCAGAACAACAGGCAGGAGGAGCAGGAACAAAAGCAGTAAGCAGGACACAAAAACTATCTTCAGGAAGCCATCGATCAAAAGAAGATTTAGGGAGGCGTGAGCAGGAGAGAGAGAGAGAGGGGCATTGTTGGAGCGCCTCCGTGAAGAACTATTTTTGCCGTCTCTACTCCCACGTGTTAAATATATACTTCGTTTTATATGCACTGACCTGACCACACCACACCACACACCACACCACACCACACCACACCACACCACAACCACACCACACAAAATCAAACCAAAAACAAAGCCTCGTCTAACCTAACCAAAAATATACTGTAGTGGTCATTAAGGGTTCTCGAATACAAGAAAATTTGACTGTATAAAAATGTACAACATGTTTGACCTACAATAGTTCTAAATTAAAGCCACTAAACATGCCACAGGCTTCATCGTTCATTCATATACCACTCATAGTTATGTGCAGCTTCTTTGTCAAACCCGTTAGTCTTGTGTGGTTAAGTATGCAGTGTGTCGCTTGAAGGATGAGTCATTTAACGTGTACAAACGTCTATCAAGGCTGACGAAATATGAAAATTCACAAACAAGGCGGTGTGTGTGTGTGTGTGTGTGTGTGTGTGTGTTGAAGCGTCTATTCATAGCAGTGTCTGTATGTTTGTGCTAATGTATGTACGTATATTTGTATGTGTACCTGTGTGTTTTCTAAGAATAATGGGTCTGTGTGCGTGTAAATGCCATTGTGCGAATGAGTCTGTGTGTATGTGTGTGTGTGTGTGTGTGTGTGTGTGTGTGTGTAGTTCAGGTGAGGCAATCTGAAACAGCCACCTCACCTCTCTCCGCTTTCCCCTCCCCCCACATCACCCTCCCCTCCCCACACACCACCCTTTCCTGCACAAGACCCTTCCCCCACACCACACTCCCCACACCACACCCCCACACCACTCCAACCCCTTCCCCCACACCACCCCCCCCACACCATGGTATACTCGTCTGATAGTGAAGGAGCCGGGTATTAGTGGGTGTGGTGATGGTGAATAATTGAAAGTGTATTACGAACGAGAGAGCGAGCGGCTGTGTTTCCTCTGTACGGCCGCTGCTTCCCTGCCCAGTGTTTGTTTCATCGTGTTCGTTAAGTATAAAATGGGAAAGAAATGTAAATTCTAAATAGGCAAAGGCGAAGAGGTTAAAGGAGAATTTCATGCATACTAAATGAGTAGAGGCAATGTGTTCTAAGACGCTGAGTGTGTACATGGACTCGTACACACGAACACACACACACGCACACACACACCTATACCCAATAAGAACACACATAAACACCTGAAGGAGAGAGAGAGAGAGAGAGAGAGAGAGAGAGAGAGAGAGAGAGAGAGAGAGAGAGAGAGAGAGAGGCAGGGACAGAGACAGACAGACAGACAGACACACACAGAGACTGGAATCAAAGTCGTGTGAGGCTGGAGCGAGGACTCAACGAAGGGCAGACAAGGTTAACAGTCACCTGGGATCTGTTTTGATAAATTCCTATATACATATATTGAAGCATGAGTAAAAATAATGGTCACTGATTGGCTCTTATCCCTCATACATCAGAATTAAATTGTGTTTTAATTAGTCAATTTCAATGTGACGTTACTCAGTTTCCCTCCCACTATTTTGATTGGTTAGTTCTATTGTGACGTCAACCAACTCTCTTTCCACTCATGTGATTGGTCAGTCCTGTTGTGATGCCATTCCTTGTCCTTGCTATTTGACAAAATGAATTTCAGAATCGTGATGTATGAAAACGATCACTCAATAAGTATACATGGCTGTGTACATATGATACACAACACACATACACCAAGAAATACACCATACAACTTTCTTCCTACTGATTCGGCTGTTATCATGTATCTCCTTCAAGCAACACCCACCTCTGTCTGTGAAGCTGGAATCTCCAGAGAGACTTAGCTGGGGTCTTTCGCTGTCCCAACAAAGCCTTCCTTCCACGTCTCTTTAGCAATGGCCATAATCCACCTTACTTCAGCAAGGATGTTTCCCCTTCGCTTAAGCATGACACAGAAATAATACAACACAACATTAGTTATTTGGGTTTCAGTAAAGATTTATTCCATCCACTGAACTAGGAAAATCTCGATTCAAACATGGATTCCTCCCTTACAAGAAGAACCAAATTCTCGACTTTTTACTATACCATGCCCTTTACTCAGCCAAGACTACCCAGACAAGAGATATGCCATTCCACTCTCCCAGCAAAGACGTCATTATTGAAGCACTATCGTCATATATGAGAAGCGTCCCGAAGTTATACACCTTGTAGTATTTCCTTCAGCTAAAGTATAAATTCTCTAAGGCAGTTCTGTTTCTTATAATTTTTTAACTGTTGACTAGTGGAATTACTACTCTTGTTCTGTGCTTAAAGACCTTACTGTAGTTGTTGAAACGTGGTAATAATGTTTCTTTTCTCCCTCTTCCCCTGTACCGTTCAATAGCTGTCACCCTATTCCTTTAAATATCTCTTCCCCAGCCCTTAAGGCCGACTAACGTCCAATATTTTTTTCTCTTCAATGACCTTTCTTTCAAGTCCGAACAACACCAGTTACTTTATTTAAAATATCTTATAACATTAATCTCAACTTTCGAAATCAAATCAACATTAAAAGACAAAGATTTATATATAAACAATACAGGATATCAGTAAGACTCGCCTCTATATTGTCTTCATATAAATTATTCTTTTAATACGAGTTAAATTTCCATAAAAAAAAAATCCACCTTGTTTTCTTCCAAGTATCTTTCCTGAGTTCCGACCAGCGTCCCTCATTCGTTCTCAAGAAAGTCTCTACTCCCAGAAGTTCGATCAACAGCACCCATATCGTTCCCCCCCAGACTCTTCTCCTGGCGGCGCGGCGGTTCTGTCTCTGGCACTGGTGACGACGATACGCTACCATGATCCAATTACGAACAATGATATCCCACAAAGTTTCATTCAGTGGAATCTCCTTTAACTGCGAGCTCCAGCACTACACTACACTATAGATACCAGTCTCCGGTAGCCAGTCCCCAATAGCCAGTCCCCAATAGCCAGTCCCCAATAGCCAGTCCCCGCCAGCCAATCCCCGCCAGCTAGCGCCCCCTCCCCATAGCTGTAACAAAGACCAACCTCCCTCGATGACCAGCCAGCTTGCGTGTTTAGGATTTATGAATGTTCTCGACAGGTAAATAATGGTCCCTTGGGTCAGTGTATTTATTACTTTTGGAAGTAAACGTGGAATGACAGCCGTACCTAATGACCTTACCTAGAGCAATGTTTACATGATGAGAGTGTGTGTGTGTGTGTGTGTGTGTGTGTGTGTAGACATACATACATAGAAACTTAAGATTTATTTATTTTATATTTTTTTAAGATCACAGCAGATGATGAAGTCGATTCCATCTGACTCACGCGAGAAGGAAAGGTCAGTTGGTTATTTTTTATGATGGGAAGGACTATGAGAACTAACTCTTCACAATTTTAAAATGAGAATTTGTCAATACGAGATCTGAAGAATAATAAAAAATACGATTTGTGATACTGACAAAAGTATCGTGAGAATACTTGAGCTAATGAGAATATTTCGTCGACAGAGAATAAAAATAAGATAATGAGAGAGACGAAAGTTTTCCTCAACTCAGTGACAAAATAAATCTAAAAGTTTCATAGTCGGTGAAGCTTGACACACATCGCAATACACCTGCTAACAGACCCTCCAGTCTCTGACTGCGACAAGTTTCTGAAATATTCACGATAAAGTCGACGGGACGGATAGATGACAGAGTAACGGACGGACGGACGGATGCACAGGACAGATATATGAAGCAATATTAATCAACATCTGAGTGAGATCTTTTAATGCCATGATAATCCATTCCTGCCACACACACACACACACACACACACACACAGAGGTGAGGTACTGGAGGCCACAAACACACACACTAACTCCCTGGGTCTCTCTCACAGGAGGTGCTGGCGGGGTGTCCATCGTGAGGCTGACGGTGCCGGAGGTGGTGAAGACCAACACAACGGCTGTGGTGCTTGACTGTGACTACCAGGTGGACGAGTGGGAGCGACCAGGCCTCGTCGTCAAGTGGTGAGTCATCTAGCTGGGTAGATCAGTGGTGAGTCACCTAGCTGGGTAGGTCAGTGGTGAGTCACCTAGCTGAGTAGATCAGTGGTGAGTCACCTAGCTGGGTAGATCAGTGGTGAGTCACCTAGCTGGGTAGGTCAGTGGTGAGTCACCTAGCTGGGTGGTTCAGTGGTGAGTCACCTAGCTGGGTAGGTCAGTGGTGAGTCACCTAGCTGGGTAGGTCAGTTGTGAGTCACCTAGCTGGGTAGTTCAGTGGTAATTCACCTAGCTGGGTAGGTCAGTTGTGAGTCACCTAGCTGAGTAGGTCAATGATAAGTACCACACACAGGTAGATAGCTGAAAAATGTTAATGACTCAGTGTTCGTACTAGAGTAGTGAGTGACGTAGAAAAGCTACAGATGGCGTGAGTGAGTGTTCAGAAGGTGTGGTGAGATGAATTGTTTACGTCGTGAAGGAGTAATGACTTATGTTAAACAAGGAGATTAAGAGCGGTCCAGACGCCATACCCAACAGAACTTTTTATATTTCGGGATTACTCGTTTACTCTCGCTCGTGCGCTAGTCTAAAAACCGTGGTGTTATTTTTCATGAACAACAAGATACCTCAGAAAAGAACTTGAATTTCCTAAGATCTAAATATAATCAGCAATAACGTCAGAGATCAACACCTGGTCATGAAGGTATATTCTACACAGGGCCATTATTTCCATTTAATCCACTGTGTTTACCCCACACTGTAACATTACTCACACGAGAAGAACAAGAGCCAGAGATGACAAAAGAGATTCGAGATACATCACTGAAACACATCGATGGACTGTATGTAGTCTTTACCTTACCATTAATCTTCTCACGAGGCAAGACGCTTATAGTTAAGAAGTCACTGGAAGGGGCCCTCATCGATACACTGCACCAACCACATATCGAACAAATCAGTACAATATGGTTCCAAGGTTTGATAAATGCCACTATGATTTTCTCAATACACTGATAAATGATTTACCCCGCAGTAGCATTAACCATTACCAAGGCGGGCGCGCGCACACACACACACACACACACGGCTGAGTCCTATTTAAACCTTCAAAACACAGGCAACACTACTCAACCTCTTAGTGTTACTCGCTGAAACATTAATGTATTCCTGTACCCAACCATCCACTGTCATCTAGTTATTCTAGTACACTGATGGCTCCGTCGATAAGACCAACTCTCACAGTGTTTTAATATGTTAGGAAAGACACCCACAGTGGCAAACGATATGTGGGCACCTTCTCATTGTTGTTCATGTTACGTTGACTGTCTGGTCGTGTTTCACCATATCTCTTTACTAGGGAGGGAAGCTGAACATACTAGAAAAATTTTTTCATCCTTTAACTAATAGCAGTGAAAGTAGTACTCCTTCATGTTTACTTTCATGATGATAAACAGTCTCTCTCACACACACACACACAAACACGGATTCAAATAGAGCAATTTAAGCTGTCACTACTCACCACCTAGTAACATCAATACTTTTTTTTTTTTACTATTACTACTACTACTTCTATACATCTCATTCTGCAGTATTTAGACCTTTCGTATCCAAAGACAAGAGATTATACTAAACAGGAATCCTGAGTTACCTTGTCGTCAAAGGCAACGAAATGGCTGACAGTGGTGACACCCAAATATATCAAGTCAGGCGTAAGGACAAGATTGATATCCTTTTCAGCCGTCTTAAAAGGCCACTTCAGCATGGACGAAAACACAAAAACATCGAGAAACAAAGGACTTGGTTGTAGCATTGTGTCGTGAAGTGATCTATTAAGTCTCCAAGGATGAAAAATGAATAAGCTAAGGTCAGGGAGCATTTTAGTCTTGGAAATTGTGATCAAAAGAAACATATTATTTTCTATACAGTATAATGGACACTTTAAAACATTATTATTTACACTAGTATAAATTAAAGCTTATTATGGTTCTCTGATGCTCTCCTATACACAGTCTTGACAAAGAGTTACCACCTTACAAGAAATTTATGAAAAATTTAATATTAGTTAATTTAGTGAAGATCATCATTCATACAACTTTTCAGATGTATGTGTGTATATTATGTATATTCACTACACAATAAATAAAGACTATACATAAAGATGAACCCCACTTATGATAATTTAGGTCGTTAAGGGAGTAATTAGAGAAGCATATAAGGTTGGTTTACTCCTCGGGTCAACAAAGACAAAACTTACCATGAAAGGTTGTGTATCTAGACAGTCATTCAGCCAGACATCAGGTTATTGTTAGTAAAAAGACTATATTTCAAGCACTATGTCCACCCACAGCCATACTTCCGAGCTGGGAGTTAATGTTATTGTTTATCGTCCTAAGAGTTACTGTTGACCCTATCACAGATATGCATTATTTTGTCTGTATATTAGAACCTCTGTTACTGGGCAGCTGATCTCTCTCTCTCCAGGGCAGCCAAGAGACTGAGCAGGTTCCTCTTGATGTACCAATACTGTAGTACGTAAGAGCTACAACTCTCTTCCCTAATTAGGATGTATCTATCGTGTGTGTACAGGTACGTGGACAAGATCCATCTAGTATACCAGTGGATACCGCCGCTGCGCCCCCAGGCCCTGGGTGTGTTGAGTGGCCGGGTCAACACCACCTACGAGGCCTCTAGGGACCCCTGGGCCGTGCACCGGGCCCTCTACATCCCTCACCCGGACCCCTCATTGTCTGGCCAGTACTCCTGCTCCGTCAGTACCTTCGAGGATGAGGACACCCGCACCGCACACCTCCTCGTCTGGAGTGAGTCTCTCCTTTTGTTTCTTTCATTTGTTTTTGTACAGTCATCGTAAGGTATGGATCAAGTCGAAACAACTAAAAATCCGCCACAAACTTCCGTAGCTCCAAAATTCCCCAAAGTAACCCTCGCAAGTTTTGTAGAAAAATCTTATAAAGGTAAAGAATGTAATGCCCAGTAGTCACGTGGAGGCATTGTCCCACAGTGCTGCACAGGACGGTGTCTGGGAGTTCTTAAAATACTTTGAAGCAATTGGGACTCGCCTGAATTTGGGAGGTCAGTTTCAAAACACAGTGCACAGGGTTTATGTCGTCAGGACGGCGTTTACGGGGAGTTCTGGCAGCTACGCCTTGCCAATTTTCTTCCAAGGGTTTCAAAAAATTTGCTTTTATGTTAATACTTAAATAATATTGTTTTGCCAGTGGCTCCATTACACTTTTTTTTCACTATTTTGGGGGAGATTTATTAAAAAACATATAGAATTTTCTCCAGAAGGTGACATACTTCTTAGGAGGATTTATAACGTAAAAGTGAGTTACGCTCTTACTGTAGATAGTAAGACATAGTTGTTTGGAATGTAATTTAATCATAGTGTGATAGTAACTACAATTTAGTATTGTTCTGCCAATCAATTTCTATAAAAAAAATACTCAATTTCTTTTATTTATCTTCAAAATTTCTTCCATACTATTTTGTTCTTTTACCTCCCGCCAACTTCAATGGATTCTACTCGCAACAAAAAAGTATCGTAATAGGACGCGAGGATTTTTTTTTTTTTAGGTTAAAGTGGGGAAAGGATGGAAGACATGCTGGGACTTAAGGCACAGCCAGACTACAGTTTACCGAAGCTCTAGTGGAGACAAACTGGTCTCTTGGGATAATTAAGTTAACATTTTTATGGGAATGTGTTTTACTCAGGCTCCGTTAGTATACTCGATGGTGATTTTACTATCGCTCTGGGTATAGTAACATACTTGTAACTAAAGAACAGATGGCTATACCTTTAACCAGGGCAATACAGGACATTATATATGAGAATTATTAAACATGAATAGATTAAAAATAAATAAAAAATCGTTTGAGTTTACGTTCTATGTAACTAAAGATTCTTAACGAGAAGCATATGATGTTGGGGACTACAGAGGTGTTGGTTAGGTGAGTTATACTGTTAGATAATTTATAGTTTATATTTACTTTCTAATCTTCACTTTTATTCAATTATGTGACATTTTCTGTGTTTAGATGTGTTATTAATCTTCTGAAGACGAAAGAGTTAATCCAAACTCCTCAAAGGGTTAACCAATCATCCTGAAAGGGTTAAACCATTGTCCTCAAAGGATCAAACCATCGTCCTCAAAGGGTTAAACCATCGTCCTCAAAGGGTTAAACCATCGTCCTCAAAGGTTTAAACCATCGTCCTCAAAGGGTTAAACCATCGTCAAAGGGTTAAACCATCGTCCTCAAAGGGTTAAACCATCGTCCTCAAAGGTTTAAACCATCGTCCTCAAAGGGTTAAACCATCGTCCTTCAAATATCTAACCCATTACCTATCACAACCTTCCCACACCTGCATCATCCACTACGGAACAACACCATGTACCTATTTAGCCTATCATTACAGTCTCACCTACTTGAATACCTATAGACAAGATACATCCTATCACCTCATAAACACATTCAACATTCTCTCTTGCGTACAGGACCTGCCCGCGATGTGGAGCTGAAATATTGGCGGCCCTCAGAGTACCTCGTCAACATAACCTGCAGCGTCGCGGGAGTAGCACCTAGACCAGAGTTCACCTTATATACTACGGATCCAAATGGCACCAGGTAACAGTGTGAGATAGAGACAGAATTTAGAGACAGTGATTAATAATAGTCTTTTGAGTGATGGGAATCTCTTAAGGGTGAGAGAGAGAGAGAGACAAACTCAACAGAGAGACAGACAGACAGACAGACAGAGGCACAACCAAAACAACCCAAACCTTTTTACCTTTCACCTTCCCAACGTCTCACCCACAGACAAGGTGTGCAGGTACGCGGAACAAATGGCCACCTGGGAGAGGACGGGGAGTGGTGGGCGGGGGCGTGGGGGCTGATCCTGTGGGCGGATACTGAAGCTGGCAGTGTCATCAGTTGCACCTTCACCCTCCCCGGCACCTCCCATACTAACACCAGCAATAAGACCTACCACCCAGGTATTTTGTTACTGTTATTTTTGCTTCCCTCGAGTATAACCTTACCTAACCCAACAAGGTTCGGTGAATTTCATTAACATGTATCCATCTCTCACGAACCATTGCCAAACATATTTCCCGAACAAATAGAACCTATAACATTTGTATAAACACGTAACAAATGCATCTATTTTCAGCGATATGTAAACAAAGGGTGATAATCAAAGGCTGAAATGCATGGAATAATCACTATGTTTGTTAGAAAAATATTCGCAAAGAGAATGAGAGCTGCAGTGTGTTTACAAACACACACACACATTATATATATATATATATATATATATATATATATATATATATACACCTCCAAATGCTTTTAGGACTAATTTTTCCCTTAAAATCAGTGGAAAATTTCCTTGGTTCACGTGTAGTGTTCTGCCAACACTGTGGACCCAGCTGCAATAAACTACTTTACTTTGAAAATTCAGCTACAATAGTAGTCATATTTCTCTTCCATCTTCTATTATCCTCCCAGTGTTTCTTTAAGTAGCTTCAAATAACCACTAGCCTCTCTCAGATGAAAATAACAATGACCTCTCCGTGTGATCCCATATCAGATTTACCCATCATCACCACCACTACCACCACACCAACCACCACGACGGCTAGTGAGCTCCCAGGCAGATCGTCCAGTATACCACAACACGCGCCTAGCACAACCTCCACCTTCTTCGGTGAGTCTATACGTCTCTCTCCTGCTGTCTCTTCATCAACTGTATGGACGATGTACACACATATAATCGTTAACAACACAAATCAAATAATAATTCAAGAAAAAACACACATAAGGTTTTTAATGTACTCGCTATTTATTTTTCTCGACAGATTTGTCCACCCTGTTCGGCGCAGGTAGGCGGATTTAGTAGTTCTTATCAGATAACAAATGAATAAATACAAATTGTAACATAGTCCTCACCTGCAGCATAATAAAATTTATAATAACAATAAATCCCATTACTAGGTGACCACTAACCCCCCCCCCTCCCTCTCCCCTACAGCCAGCGCGGCGAGGAGTGTGCAGCTGTCACCCACATGGAGCTGCAGCTGCCTTATGTACGTAACAACTGATCCAGCTGCACATGCTCTATATATATTATTATTCTTACTGATACAATCTTTCTCAGCGTTAATGATAACTTGTGACACAGATAATTAGATATCAAAGAGGTATCCCCTAACTGTTTTATATTTGTTACTCTACCTGTTAAGTGATTACGTGTACCTGTATATACTCTCACCTTACAACCAAACGCCTTTACGAAGGATAAGACAACACACTGAGCAGGAGAAAACTACACACACGAATTCAGATGGTATCATGGCTTGTAATTGTCACATTTTCAATAACCTATCGACCAAACCAGCCGCTCGGGTCATTAAACACTTGCCGCAACCTTATATCTTACCAGACACAACTAGAAAAATAGGTCAGTCGAGGCCATCCATCACCATCGCTGTTACTAAAGAATATAATTACCTTGATATCTTTATTGTCCCCTGAGCATTGTGTCTCTGTTACCCCCTGAGCATTGTGTCTCTGTTACCCCCTGAGCATTGTGTCTCTGTTACCCCCCTGAGCATTGTGTCTCTGTTACCCCCTGAGCATTGTGTCTCTGTTACCCCCTGAGCATTGTGTGTCTGTTACCCATTCACTTACCCATTGCTCTTGAAAACAAACCAAACGTCTGCTTAAGTATCGAGCGTTGGGTACAGTGCCTCTCAATTTATGTCGATTTTCTATTTGTTTCTCCCATTCTTGTCTCCAAAGAGGAGTTACAAATTAAAATAATTCAGTATAATAATGTAAAATAAATACAAGTAATACAAATAATTTTATAAATATGAATTAAAAAAAGCTGTTTTATGAAACTACATTAGTGTATAATGAGTCACACTATGATTTAATTTAACTGGTCCACTAGAGAACTAATTTCAGAACATTTCACAACACGTATCCTGCTTCGCTCTAAAAGACTTACATAAATAAATAAATAAAAAAAAATAATGAAATATGAAATTGAATGGTTTAAATATTTGAGTCAACTTGATTAAAATGTTACAATCCAACTACTGACGAAATTGAGTGTAAACAGCAAGCAATATAGGGAGTTAATGGCTACAGGAGGCTTTAGTAGTGACAGTATTGTTTGCAGTTTGTTTAGCTGTCATCTTAAAGGTTTACAGCTGACCTGACAAGTGATTTTGTTATCCGATAAAGAGACTATTAACGTCTCCTGCACACACACACACACACACACACACACACACACACACACACACACACACACACACACACACACACACACACACACACACACACACACACACACACACACACACACACACTCTGAGATCCCGAAGTGAAGACAAGACAACCCAGTATAGAAGAAGGTCGGTATTGAGTTACTTATCCAATGTCTTATTATTTCCAGGTTGTTGATGGTGTTCCTGCGGGTGATGGCTGACGACCCGTGAGGACAGACTACCACTACCTTCCCCTCACCCACACCTAAAAAATCAAAACTCACCATTGTGTGTGTGTGTGTGTGTGTGTGTCTGTCTGTCTGTCTGTCTTTGTGTGTGTGTGTGTGTGTGTGTGTCTGTCTGTCTTTGTGTGTGTGTGTTCGTCTCCCACTTGCGTTTTGTGGTGGCGTTAGTGACTTCACGATGCACTTTGTCATTCTGCGTTACACTGATTAATGACAATTTTACCAATGAGCTTTCAATAATGTGTATGTCTTGAGCAATATGTGGTGTTGTATATATATATAGTGAAGGAAATAATCGGTGGTTTTAAGTCTCTTGGTAATGAAATATATTACTTGGTGGAACCCTAATTGGAGTAAAGGTCTGAGGAGAAATTTAATCTGTGAATGTGTACCGCGTTTATAGAGGAATAAAAGAGAGCCGTTGATGGTCAGTAGGTGACAATTTCTGACTTAGAGGGAACGTTTGAAGGTAATGTCATTCTCTTATATTGTGAATTATTTAACTTTTCTTGCAGTTACTCCGAGACTTTGGATGAGATCTGTATTTTTTTTTTAATTCTAATCCTCGACAAAGAAATTTAATACCAATTGAAACTTGTCAACTGAATCCTTAATATGTTAAAAGTCCGTAGGTGTTTTAATGACTGCTTTTCCCTTCAGTAATTTATTTTGTAGTTTATGACAACTTTGAAGATGGTTTAAAAAGTAGATTTATTTTCTGGAAAAGTTAATAGTAATACATATAGAAAATAATTATCGTTAATTCTAAGACTATCAGTTAGTTTGTCATATCCTGTGACTTATCGTATAATTAAATGGCACACGAGATATATTTCCTGCCACCAGACAAACAAACTCCTTCACAACAATAGCAAACTGGCTACAATCACCACGAGCCCCAGAAATCCAGCTGTCACTGATCATCAAGTTGGTAAAATATGAAGTGAGTTGAATGTGTGGCGGCAATATTGACGGCTTGCCACAACTGTCTGTCAAAGCTTACCCAAACTAATCTGGCCAACACAAAAGTGACCCCACCTGGTAGATATGTTAGAGATGTTCTGTTTAATCGTTGCAAAGTTTTATTAGTGGTTCCTTTGGGTAAACAGGACAGGATCGAGCTCTCACTGGACCTAACACGTGCGCTTCTCTTGGGTTCCATCTGTGCACAGCCTGTTGACAGCCTTCCACCCGCGAGGATAATCGTGTATCAGTACTTGGTGTAAACATTCTTTCATGTTTATGATCAATATCTTTACAGAGGCGGTCAGTAACTCGGTGAGCAATGTACTTTCAACTCCTTCCTTCACCACTCCCCCAATATTTCTACTCGGTTCATTAACATAATGTTTTCCGTTGAACCCGGAGACAAGTTTGGGAAACAGACTTCCGTCCACTCATATTAGATGACTGTCCACACACCTGGTGGCCCTCCATTATCACTGCTCACTACTGATCGCTGGTGGTGTCAGTCTGCCTCGCACCGCCTCCCTACAGGTAGCTCCACCTACAGTAAATATATTAAATTGAACTTTCAGTCATTTTCAAGAATGTTTCGTTTTAACAATCTATTCAACGTCACTTTCTTGGCGAAAATTGAATAAAATTAAAATAAATTATTTCTTGTTAACGGTTGGGTAGAGAAATTGTTGAACTTCCTGGAAATTCAGGCGGTTGACTTGGTGCCGCTTAGGGTATTTGAGTCACGTTTTATATATACTGCACAACAGCTGGGAGTATCGCTGTTCTGTGTTGGTGATTTTTTTTTAACTAAGTTACTGTCACTTTGGCCTTATTGAGAATATCCGGACGTCTGGGTTGTCCACGACACCTTGAGTATCCGACTTTTAGAGTCAAATTATTTTCTTCCTTCCTGATCATTGGTCAGAGAAATTGCAGCACAGGAGCTGTCATTAACCCGAAGACTGTAAGACTTCAACACTATATCACCTCTACACTTACACTCAGCTCCTCCTGAACGTGTGTGTCAGGGGCCGTCAGGACTGAACCCGTCGACCTCAGCAACTCGAGGTTCAGCGATTTTTCCACAGGAGTCACAATAAAAAATGGAATTCACTGATAAACGAGTTAGCAAGATAAACGAATCAAGGCTGTAACTTTCTGAATCTATATTTATTATTATATACCTTTGTAGTCCTAAACTTGCCAATTAAATATAAATTCAGTGTTCCTCAAATATGTCGAGCTCCATACTAGTCACAAAAATACCAAGCATATCCGGATAAAGCCAAGAGATCGGTTAATTTCGAGTATTAGTCCATCCATTTTTCCCTCGACAGCTGCACACGTTACCACCGCCGCCTCTAACACAGTGACAAAAGTGAAGTACGGTTATGGTTGAAGGGCAGGTGATGAAAGCTTGATCTCTCTTGTCTGCTGCAGGTAACTTGTTCTTTCTCCCATTTACCCTAATTCAGTAAACTTTCTCCAGTCATAGACACCTGATTTACGTGTGTGAAAACCTCATACTTTATCTACTACTACAAGTTTCACCAAGTGTACGCTTCCCTCCAAACAACTGTGATCTTCTCTATGTAATCCGCTGTTTATTCTCCCGTGTGTGAAAAAATAATGCTCAAGAAACTTTAAAATGGCAGTACACTCGAGCGATAATACATTAATTTGCTCCTACGCCTCGCCAGCCCACAATTTCGACAGGTTAATTACTGAGGTGTTGCTGATCTAAGTTAAGTATGTACAGGTATAGTCACCCACATAAGTCCTATCACCTCTCCTCCGGATATACGAGTCTCGAGGTTCATACTCGTGAACCCGAAGCATTTATGAACAGAATAATGCATCAGTCCATTGCTTTGGGTTCACGAGTCTGAATCTCGATGTACTTGGCTCAGGGGGGAGAGGCAACAAGACTATTATGTCATTCAGAGCGTCACCCCGATGGCATATCCTAGACATTACTGACCCAAGATCTGAGTATGACACTGTAGTTATCGATTAAGATCACCATTACTGAACAAAATCCCAACAGAGAGGAATTTACAACAGAACAATCTCCTTCAAAGTGAGTATTGGTGTCCGACATGACCACAAGAAATATTGATTGTAAAATATAACAAGTTTTTACAACCCAACATTGTCGAATAACAACCACTATCCACAGCCGATTTGTTTATGTTTTGGGGTTCAATAATCCACCTTAGTGATAATTTCAACAACTTTAATATTTTCTATAATTCAACCTGATATCATTATAGGAGAAACCATGTGAACAACTATAATTACAATGAATTCCCATGGAGTAATAATAATAACACGAAATTAAACTTATTCCACGTTTGAGTTGTTTTAAGGCTTCATCAGACGTTCATCCTTGAAAGTCATGAACATATGTACCGTAAGTTGATTAAGATAAGTATATTATTATTTTTCGTAGTATGATCAATTTTATTATGACACTATGCTATGGAGGAGCGAGCCTTTACTGGAACATCTGAACGTGATAATAAAACAGATGACGTGTGTGCCATTGTAACCTGTAGCGGCATATAATTTTGATTACATTTGGCAAAGGTGTTGTATAGGCCAGGTGTAAATAGACCCAATGGCTGTCTAGATGATTACATGTTATCAAATCAATTATGAAAGATGACATGAACCAAATTAACATAACCTAACCCAAACGAACGAACTTAACGAACTTAGCTCATTTATTAGTTAGTTTTCATTAGGTTAATTTGGTTCAAGTTATATTTGGTAAATGATTGAATATCGTCGTCTGCTAAATCGTCTGTACTGTATGTTAGTCATCAGACGCTCAACGCTACACTTCATATACATATTTTACCTAAGTCTCAGTTCATTTTGTCCCACGACCCTCACCTGTTTCTAAAATAAGAATATTTATTTTATTAATTATATCAACAAAGTCTTAGGTAATGTTTCCTAATAAGCGCGTCTGTCTAAACAACACCTTTACCATACATTATCAAAAAATAATAAATATTTTATTGTACCTGTAATTTAATAGCATGTAAAATATTTTCCATCATTATGATTTAAAAGTATTTCTTAATTTTCTTTTGAATATTTCATTCCATCAGACACTATGTATTCTTGATAAATGGTGTGATGACGTCTAATACTTACCTTCAAATACCTAAATAATCATCAAAAGATTTTGTAATGTAAAAAAAAAAGTTGTTTTTAACCAGTTAATTTTATAATAAATTTATTATACTATATCAGTCAATCATTATCCTTATTAAGATCTTTAATCATTTTCAAAGATCAATCTACGTCTCGGTACAGGAAGAGTCTCACCTCTGTCAGATGAAAACACGAGTGGTAAAACACGTCTTTGTCCTTGTATACAGAGCAGCATTGGTATTCGTCCTTAAGCGTATTTTCAATTGTATAAACAGCAAGCAATCTAACATTAATTCTAGCTTCAAATATATAAACATCAAACATTATTCATACAGCTTAAGGATCAGCTAAAGTGTAGAAACAGCTAACTTTTGTAGAGCATTAAATCTATAGCTTCAGGTGTACACGGAGCACGGACTATCAATACACCCTAAGTATAGTTTTAATCGTATGATAAAAAAACATCAATTATACAGGATTAGGGTGTAGCGCCAGCAGTATACGGAACAGGTACCATTTTGCATCATTGCCTTTAGTTCCATTTGCACACAAAGCAGACAGGTGTAATTTTTTCCCCAACAATGAGAGCAGCTCGTCTCGTTAAGAGGTTAAGCTTCATTTACACACGAAAAAATGAGGGGGGAGTAAATCCTCTTGTATATAACAGCGTAAATAATGGGTCCTATAAACTGCCTGTCATTATATTTCGCATTATATATATATATATTTACTCAAGGTTATTGTATACTCAACACAATGACCAATTCTCACATCATCTTTTTGGACGTGTGGAAAATATGGAGAAAGACGCTGCCGGGGACGTTGTCGTTTGGGGGTAACACAACAGTTTTTCCTTCGCTTCACTTAATTTTCACATTTTTTTTCGTTTTGTGGCTTTTAATTTTGTTAATGGCACAACCACCATATCACTTCCCCCACCTGTGTCACCTGGACGACGCCGGTGGAAGACAAGAGCTCGTGCGTGACGCTATGCTGGGTAAAGGCAAACACGAAGAGGAAGCAGCCAGACAAGGTAAGTGCAAACATTCACTCGAGGTAGTTTGGTCTCTCCCAATCATCTAACTGGATAAGTGATTTGCAAGAAGCGCTACATACAAACCTTGTACACTCAACCACAGGGGTTATTCTATAGTCTATACTGTTGTGGGGTCAAATTATATGGTAACATTTTCGTGTACAGAATTACCAGACTTTCAAAATGACCAATGATTTAAATTTTATTCTGGCACAAATTTATAAAATACATATGTTGTGTATATTTGAATACTGTCAAGTGTTGGAAATCCTCTTGAAATATGATATGAAAAGGAATACTTGATATAGACGCCGGGTAGTGAGGTATTGTTATTATACGGCTCCATCCCTTCCCTTCCCTTCCTACCTCTACCCTTCCTTTCCCTTCCTACCTCTAGCACTCTCTCTCCCCACCCCTCCTTCACCACCCTCCCTTCCCTTCCATCTCCACCACCATACCCTCCCCCCCCCCACCTCCCATCCCTCTTCCACTTTTCTCTCTCTTTTTCTTTCTCAGTTTTCATTGGCCTTCCAGTTGTAAGCACTATAGCCCTCTTTCACCCACCTTTTCTCATTCCGTTCCTCCTCCTCTTCCTCTTTTTTTCCTCCTTCTCCTCCCATTCCGCTCCTTCTCCTCCTAGTTCTTTCCTCACTTCTTCTGCTCTTCTTCTTAGTCAGGAGTCTTTCATTGCTAGGTATGAATAATTCATGTATACACAGACGATGGCCTAATACAATATTAATGGAATGAATAGAAAAATAGATTAAGACAGACAGACAGACAGACAGAGATAGATCGATAGACAGAAGTAACGCTATCTAAAAAAGAACCTTTCCTCCCCAAGATCTCGTGCCCTTCCTTTCGTGGAACATTTTCTGGTCTATTGACAGACAAATATCAAAGGTATGATTAAGTAAACATGAGCCTTTAGTTCAGAGAAAATTATACACCTACGATTTTAAATCCAATGACATCTTTCCAGGGTTCCTTGTCATTGATCAAGTCCCTGATTAAAATTCCCTGATCAAGACCCTGATTAAAATTTCATGACACACTCTAATCTCTCATCAATTTAAAACGAATCTCTTCCATGGATTGATTCTAATTTCCTCTTATACACGATTACTAGGTTAGTCTGACACGTCTCATCGACTCGTGTGTTTAGCTGTCGATTTCCTGACACACAGACGGGAGTGGTGTAGTCCCGTCTTATTATCCTGCGTCGCTGGGGGGGGAAGGAAGGAAGAGAGGGAGAGAGAGAGAGATCTGTTATATAGTTCTCCATGACGCTTCTGTGATCTTACAGGAAACAGATTGTAAATAATGTGGATAGAAAAATATTTGCTAGAGACTTCTGTTAGGATTAGGTTGAGGTTGGGTTGAGGTTGGGTTGGGGTGGGGTGGGGTGGGGTTTAGGTGAGGTTGAGGTGAGTCTGGGCTGGGAATCTGTTTTTGTGCATCACTTTGGTTCAGTCAGCCGGATGCCCTCCTTACTGACTTGACTGAAACTTCTCGTGCGTAATTTATATTAACCATAACACCTTAACACAATCATGGACCATTTCATAGCAGTTCGTACTGTCGGTGTTGTAAATATGTTTCATATTCGATCATTTGGTTGTCTGAATATTTTGATTTAATATAATTTGTTGTTTTAGTATCATCATTTATTCTCTACGTTTAAGTTTTTCTCATTTATTCAATTTGTCTATTTTTTTTTTACTTCTCTACGTTTATGTTTTTCTCATTATTGAACAAAACTTCTTTATTCTTCTTTTGTTATTTTCATCTGTATATTCTTCTAATAATGTAAGTCATATATATACTTTATCACTTCATCTGTCTATTTCCTCTTTGCCTCGATTATTACACTCATTTAAAGTTTACTTATTTGTGTGGGCTTTTTTTTTCCCCCCCGAGATCAATTTCATTTTTGGTTTCGTTTCTTCTCAGCCGTCTTACATAATAACACAGTTCCTTCACACAATAACAATTTCCTGCAACTACAGTAAGAAAGAGTTGGGTCTCTCTCTCTCTCTCTCTTTTAAATTTCCTCAGCAAACACAGTCCACCTCGTCTGGCCTCCAGGAAGCAATAGCATTACACAATAAACGGGAACCATCTCCGGGGAACTTGGCTATAAATTGATCCCTTTGTAATTGGGTGCATGCCAGGGACCCAGTCTGGCTGCTCACACTCTGCTCAGATACTTGCAACACTAAACTGGCTTCCTTCTATACCTGCCTTCCTCCTCCTCCCTCCCTCCCTCAGCTGCCTTCCTCCTCCCTCCCTTCCTCCCCTGCCTTCCCCTCCCTGACCTGCCTTCCTCTGTCTTCCTCCCTTACCTGCCCACCTCCCCTCCCTCCCTCCCTCACCTCACCTTACCTCACCTCTAGTACCCATCTTCCCTCTCACTTGCTTCAGTTCAATAACCAATCCATGTTTTGTCATGCGAAAGAAGATATATTTTTGTGTTTAATTTTCTTGCTTCTTCTGTTGTTTCTGGATCTGCTTGTTTACTCTTTTTCTTAGTGTTACGTTATCATTTAATTTTTTCTCCTCTCTTGTTGTTGTTTAATTGTTCCATACGTTCAAAGACAAACCGATGAAAATACAGCAATAATAAGTATAATGTATTGTACAGTATACACAGAGGTGAATACTACTGTAGTTTATTCAGTAGTAGACCATTCATAAGTGACCCCAATATCCTCTGTGAGATTAGATATTTTTGTTAAGCTTACGATCACCTAAGACATTCATATAGATTAACACACAATCAAAATAGTATCTTTAAAATTTTATGTGAGACAATATGACACAACTGGTGAAGGCTTTTGACAACCCTACCGAGACAACAGGAGTCACAGTGTTCATTGTGAAATTTACGTACCCCTCCGTGAAGGTACTTTTTTGACCGTGTACGTTAGTTCTTGTAGACGTAGAGTAACTTGTAATAATAGTAATTTTGAACACTTAAGAGTAGCCATACATTCGATGTCTTTGATAATCTTGTTAATGAATATTTTGATAGGGTCAAGGTCCAGTTTGTTGATAAAGCCACATGCCTCCCCCCCGCCCCCCCTTGATCCAGCCAGACACGAAAGTCTTAGGAAAACTATCGATTATCTTCAACATTCTGCATTTATAGAGT